TTTTAAGTGGCCTGCATGGGCAGATGATTTTTCCTGGGAAAGGCAAACTTCCTGTTCTCTAAATAACAGCAAAAGGAGGCTCTAGGGAATGTTCTGTTCAACAGTTTAATGGAATTTGGTTTGAGGACATGCTCCCCAAAGCTCATACATACACCTCCCTTTGCTTTGGCAGACTACAGTTTCTAAGGGACCACAACTCTCTTATGGCTACTTCTTTACCCAGCTCTTGTTTACACCTGTGCCTCCTTCTTTATCCTTTTCTCCTTCTCTGAATTCACTGAAGTGTTTGGAGACTATTTTCCCAACTTGTGGATTATTTTTGAGATGTTTGAGGCAATTCTTTCGATGTTTCTAATCCCCCTCCCCTTTCTTGAAACAAGAGATGGAGGGTGAGAGGGGAGTGGGAGGAGGAAGAGAGGGAGAGAGGTGAATGGAACATCTTGTCCTAAAACATTTGGTAGCCCAATGCAGTGATTCCCACATAGGGACTGTGAGAGCCCTCGGCTTTGTGCTTTGGTCATTACATGAGTTGCCCTTAGGCAAACTATGTAAAGGTGTTCACACATGTATAAATAGAAATAATATGTGAAGACAACTGCAGTTTGAAAGCTTTCTTGGAAAAACCAGTAGCTAACCTGAAAATTAAGGGGGAACTGTCTTCATTCTCCGTGCCCCGTCACCCCACCGCAATATATAGGGATTTTTCAGCCCTACTTTTCTGGAGTCCCAGCTAATCCTAGGCAACGCTGGCTGGCTGGCTGGCTGCATCTGATAGGAAGGACTGTGAATTTATTTGTGGGAGCTGACCAGGGGCTGTTGAAATGTCAAGGGGGGGAGAGAGAGAGAGAAATGGGGGGTGGGGAGAGAGAGAGAGAGAGAGAGAGAGAGAGAGAGAGAGAGAGAGAGAGAGAGAGAGAGGGAGGGAGGGAGGGAGGGAGGGAGAGGGAGAGAGGATAGAGAGGGAGAGACCAAGGGACCAAGACCAAGGAGAAAAGAACTCACTCTTTCTGGCTTTCTTGGACTACAGGCGCTAGCGAGGAGAGGCGCTCAGAGCCTCGCTGCCTCACTACTGGGTTCCGGAGGGAAGTCTCGAAGCTGCGAGAGAGTATCAAACTAACACCATGAGCACCTTTTCCTTTTAAGCTGCTCTTTGCCAATCCACATCCCACTACCTTAATCCAACGCTGGATTAAAATGAGGCTGTCTTCACTCCTTCTTAAATTGTTCGGCGTCCTCCAGTTTACCAGGCTACACATCTGGCTTATCCTAAAGCTAACCGATTGTCCTCTTCCATGTAAGGTTTTGTGGGTGGGGCTGAAGGAGTAGGACGGTCTATACCACTCAAAGGCCTTCTTCCCTTAGGATTAGAGAGTTAAACGGCGAAAAAAAAATACCCCGAGAATTCCCCAGCGAAAATGTGTTGTGGCCCCAGTGGAAGGAGTCAGCTTTCAGGCTCTTAAAGACCTGGAGTCCTTAGCACCAGCCGCTGCCCTAAAGGGGCCAGCCAACACCTCTAAGTGAGTGGCCTAGCGCGCAAAACTAGGCTCCCGAGGCGGCAGCGGTGACTCCATCCACTCTTCCACTACCGGCTGGACGAGAAAATCTCCCCAGAGCGCATCTGGGTGATAATTTTTACATTGACACCCACACACACACCCAGAAGTCTTAGTATGTGGGCCTCCCCCAACATGGGCCCCCTCCCTCCGGGACTACGCAGAATTCGTGGGGCAGAGGGCAGAACAGCGGGAATAGCTGGAGTGTTCAGTAACCTGGGTTCATCCCACTCATCTGTCTCTCACCCCATCCCCCGCCCAGGTACTTGTTTCCTGGGACCAGACGACCCCTGTAAATCTACTTAGGAAGTCTGGTAGCGTTCTCACTTTATTGTCCTTACTCCATCTCCAGCTCCACAGAAAGACTGGATCAAGTTCTCACCAAAGCGCATCCTTTCTGTATCTTGCTTAGAAGGGCTTGGAGGAGTGAGCGCTCCTGGAGAGAGCTGGAGCTGTTTTATCAGCCCCAAGCAACTTAGCTGCGTGAACCAGCAACGCCTCAATGGCCAGAGAATCCCTTGGGGCTAATCTGAAAACCCCGTCCCCAGCACAAAACTCAGACTCTGGAGGTGCGCGTGGGCTCCGCGCGCTCGCTGAGTGGCCACCTTTCTGTCAGAGGTTCTCCAAGTGCCAGGGGAAACGGGAAAAGACCGTTTCCACTTATTTTGGTACTTCCCTTTAGACCCCTGAAACTGATTCCCCCCTTCCTACCAGTCCCAGAGGGGCGATTCTTTAGGAGGAGGAGGACCAGTCAAGCTCAGAGAGGCGTTGCCTTTTGGGGAAGGAGCTCAGGACGTGCGGGCAGCCGGCAGGCCGGAGAGAGACCGCTTCCAGGCAGGCAGCGCCGGAGGGAGCGCCCAGCCCAGCAAAGAGTTAAAGGGAGGGGACGTGGGCTGTCACGCGTCATTGGGCAGATTATGTGCAGCAAACAAAAAGTGTGTGTCTGCGTGCCAGTCAGTCACTGCATCGGGTCCATCTGTACAACTCTCGTTCTCTCTCTCTCTTTCCTCTCACTCTCCTCTCATTTCGCTCTCCCCATCTCTCCATCTCTCTTTCCCCTCTTTAGGCAGCGCCTACTAGACAGCAATACCAACACCTCTTGACATGGAAATACACTGATACAATAGGCAAAAGAAACAGTCGATAGCATCTCTCGGTTCCAGGTGGCGTTATTTGGCCGATTCTATCCTGACCTTATTCCTGGTAAGTCTATTTGCATTGATGGGGAAGGGGGATGGGAGGAATGCTGGTTTCGTAGGAAGAGTGGAAAATTTTGTCCTCCGTTTCCTTAGTATCCAGAAGAGGGGGGAAAATAATTGTAGAGGGGATCTCTGCTGCCAATAAGATTATACAAAGGGAGGAGCTGGTGGAGAGCACTTTGCCGGAGAAGCAAGCGACTGGGGCGCGCGCGACCGCCAGACAATGCCTGCTTCCAGGGTAGGGAGAGCGGCCGGCGGCAGCGCCGGCTTCCCAGAGAGCTCAGCCGGCTCTGCAAAGGATGCCCTGGCGGACGAGAACCGGGGCCCTGGAAGGGGGTGCTGAGCTGTGAAAGGTTGGGTGGCAAAGGCCACCGCGAGCGGGCGGGCGAAGCCAGGCTTTCGTCTCGTCCCGCGATGGTTGTGACCGGCTGGGTGCTCGTGACGGCCGCCAAGGCGACGCGGTCCCCTATTAGCGCGGTGCGGCGAGGACCTTTTCACCGTATTGTTAGGTAAAACTGCATTTTAATGATTGTGTCCCTGCTGTTGCCCGACGTGACGGGGCGACCTCCCGGCACAATGAAACATTTGTTTGAAAGACACTTTTAAAAGGACGAGAGAAATTGGAGCATAAAACGCTGAGTTGGGGAAATTGAAAAGGAGAGAATAGGATTCCGTTGAAAAGGAGATGGGAGGTTCTGGAAGATTTTTGAAATATATCTAAAATTTCAATTGGCGATAAGAAACGCTATCTTGTGTGGGGTAAAAATGTCCACGGATAGATGCTCTATCTCAAAGTAACTTTCTACTTTATGGGTCTTTCTCTTATTTCTGTCTGGCAGATGCTGCTCAATACTTGACATTTCGTGGGGAGGGGGGGGTGTAGAAGAGTGAATGAAAGAAGAGGCTGACCAAAGTTTCATGCTCTGTTAGCTGTAAAGGAGAAAAAAAAGCAGTACCTTGAAATCACATTGGCAAAATTATTTGGTTAATAAACATTAAGATAAAAATGGGCATTACTAATATTATTCCATAATGCACAATTTCTCAGGAAAATAATTATGTCTATTCTTTCCTGCCACTTAAATTACACCAAACATACATGAATTACTGCCTATGGTGGCATTATTGGGGAAAAACCAAATTGGGGAAATATTCTAATCAATCAGAAAGAGTGAACAATGCAGTTACTTCAAAGCCAGTTTAAATGTTAAATAACAGGTTTTTTTAAATGGTAAATATTGTAGGCAGTGTCCAGTGACAAAGGGAAAAAAAGTCAAATGATAGCTTAATAGAGAGCCCTCCATTGGGGCATCACTTTCTAAACTGCTGTGGATGAAACAGCTGGAGTGTCCACTGAGGTCTACTTAAGTGGGGCTGCCCCCTCTTGCCCAGACTGGGTTGCATTTAGGGAGCAAGAATTCACCAGTCATTACACACGCCGTGGTTCACACAGGGGATGCTTCGGACCTGCCCTGTACCTTTTCACTTCATGAGGCACGTGTGACTCAATCCACCCCCTTGTATAACAAGGTAACTGGGATTCGCCCTCATCCATAAATAAGCATGTTGAGAAAAAAATAATTACCTCTGCTTGCTGCTTTTAATTAAAGCCTCGGAGGGACAGTGTTGGATTATGGTAATGAGCAGACATACGTCCTTTCTTGTAGGCTGCAGAGAAAGGTTAGCTGACACGGAATCAGTGGCCCTGACACTCCACTTGAAATCCATTCGCCATGCTTGGCTGTCTCCACCTGTTCTCTATTGCAGCTCCCCTCTTTGGAAGAAAATAAAATAAAATCAGCTCCCAGGCATCCAGTCCAGTGCATAAGAGAAAAGGAGAGGAGCTTTCTCCCAAAAGTTAGAAGTTTCTTTCAGTCAAGAAAGTCTATAGGCTAGTAAAAAAACACTGTTTTATCCTCTACCCTCACCTCCCCCAAATCCTGCCCCATCCTCCCCAACTTGACTGCAAAACAAAACAAAACAAAAACCTTGTCTTCCCTAGCCCTACATGTTCTCTCTCACAAGCAGCTAGTCTACCTTGAGCTGACACTATTCCAATTTTTTAGTTGGCATCTTCAAAATATGCCAGATTTAATCTGCCATTGGCTTTATTTCTGAAATAAGAGCTTTGCAAAAAAGCAGGCGAATTCAAGAAAAATCTGTCGAGTAGTTAAAATGTTCTGTCTGGATTCATAAAGGCAAAAAGAGTAATGTACTTCACTTTGGTGTCCTGTGCGTCTGTCTCTAGTGATGGAGGATTCAGGCATCCAGCGAGGAATCTGGGATGGAGATGCCAAGGCTGTCCAACAGTGTCTGACAGATATTTTCACCAGCGTTTACACCACCTGCGACATTCCCGAGAACGCTATATTTGGTCCCTGCGTCCTGAGCCATACTTCCCTGTATGACAGCATAGCTTTCATAGCTCTCAAGTCTACCGACAAGAGAACAATTCCTTATATCTTCAGGGTAAGTCTTTGCTGATGCTGCTTGGGGTAGGAAGGTAATGCCTAGTTGAAAACTGACTATTATTCTAATGACAAGCTGAGACAGGTTGTGAATGTAGAAACTGCAGTAAAGTGAGTTGTCCTGTTTCACACACCCAACATTGAAAAGGAAAAATTAAACTGAAATCATTGTCAACTGATTTTTCTGGAATAAATGACAACATTTGGTTTGGAGTACCAGCTATACCTAAATCAGTGGCTCAATCCTGGGCTTTCCTGATGATGATATTGACTCTGGGAGATTTTGGAAGACTGAGGCTATTTGCATAATGAGTACTTTCTGTAAGTATGGGAGCACTTGCCTTCCAATATAGGGGTCCCCTTCCCCTAAATATATTACCCTTTCTGGGAGAAGTAGCTAATGCCCAGAGTTTGTATTTGAATAAAAATCTTAATAGTTTGACAATAAAACATCTTTAAATCCATATGTTTTAGTGTGGATATAAAAGTCCTTTTCTCATTCTTTCTTTACAAAGAAGAACTAACAATTGTTTAAGTCAAAATTAAGATGAGTGAATGCCATATGACAATTTCTGAGATCCAAATTTTTCATTTCCAAAGCAAAAAAATTCCCCCACATTTTTGTATTATGGGATAATTTAGAAGTAAATTCTTGAGACGTTAACACTAATTTGAATTGGAAGAAGAAATTTCTTCATTTGATGTTCAACTGGTATATGAAAACGACGACTTAAATAATCACTATGATTGACCCAGCATCTCAAAGAACAGTTCTCTTGCCTGCTGGGCACAAACAAGAGGATGGGTGCCAACTTGGGTCAAGTTGTTTTGAATCTTGATCTCAAATAATTCTTTGGAAAAGAGAGACGCGTAGGAAATGGCCCCCAATTCCTTTGGCTTTATTCTCTCACAAGAGTGTCCCTCCCCAAACCCTTTCCTCCTTGTATTCTTTCTTTCTTTTTCTTAAACTGTAGGTAGACACCTCAGCAGCAAATGGTTCCTCAGAAGGTCTCATGTGGCTGCGTCTGGTTCAATCGGCCAGAGATAAAGAAGAGCAGAACCTTGAAGCCTATATAAAAAACGGACAGCTGTTTTACCGCTCTCTCCGAAGGATTGCCAAAGATGAGGAGTTACTAGTTTGGTACGGCAAAGAACTGACTGAGTTACTCTTGCTCTGCCCCTCTAGACCCCACAGCAAAATGAATGGTAGGTTGGCTTTCGACCCGCGCGTGGGCCCTTAGCAAACGGGGGGCGGGGTGGGGGGGGAGAGAAATGCAGGGAGCGGCGGGGTCTCACTCTGGCTCCTGAGCGCGCCTTTCCTTTCTTTTGGTGTCTCTTAGGAAGCTTCTGTGATCTAGTCCGTAATGAAGCTGGGGCAGATAAGTGAGGATAAATCAGGGGGCACTTGGCTTAATTACAGCCCTCCCCCCAAATCAGGAGGGAAAGTTAGATCAAGTCGTACAGGATCCCCTCTTTTTCAGGCACTGAGGCCTGAGAGATTAAGGTGGATTTGTGAAGGGGGTGATGGCAACTGGCCTGGAGACGATCCTGAGTAATCATGTGGTGTGCGTGTGTGTGCCTGCGCGCGTGTGTGTGCGTCTGTGTGGTGTTTGCTCACTAAGCAGGGTCGTCCCCTTACACATGCCTGGAATGCAGCCAACGTTTCCAGTTTGAGTTCCCCTATGTGGCGCATCTGCGCTTCCGCTGCCCCAAGAGAATTCACAGCGCTGATAGGAGCCCCCAAGACGAACAGGGTGGCGGCGTGGGCACCAAGGATCACGGGGGCGGCGGCGGCGGTGGCGGAGGCAAGGAGCAGCAACAACAGCAGCAGCAGCAGCAACAGCAACAGGAGGCGCCCTTGGGCCCCGGCCCCAAGTTCTGCAAAGCCGGCCCGTTCCACCATTACCCGACCCCCTCCCCCGAGGGCAGTAACCCTCCGGCGACTGGCGGCGGCAGCTCGAAGCCATCCACGGACTTTCACAACCTGGCGCGGGAGCTGGAAAACTCCGGCGGAGGTAGCAGCTGCTCCCCGGTTCGGAGCCTCAGCAGCAGCAGCAGCAGCAGTGGCAGTGGCCACCAGGAGGCGGAGCTGAGTCCCGACGGCAACGCCGCGGGCCTGGGCAAAGGAAAGAGGAAATTCCCGGAGGAGGCGACTGAGGGCGGTGGTGGCGCGGGGCTTGCGGGGGGCCGAGGCCGCTTCGCCGAGCGGCCCCTGCCCGCCTCCAAGGAGGACCTGGTATGCACGCCGCAGCAGTACCGCGCCTCGGGCAGCTACTTCGGCCTGGAAGAGAACGGCCGCCTCTTCGCGCCGCCCAGCCCGGAGACAGGCGAGGCGAAGCGCAGCGCCTTCGTGGAGGTGAAGAAGGCGGCCCGAGCGCCTGGACTGCAGGAGGAGGCGGCAGCGGATGGCGGGGTTGCAACCGTCGACGACCAGGACGCGGGTAGCGGCGGAGGCTCCTCCACGCCCGTGGCCGCGTCGCCGGCTAGTGCCGAGAAGCTGCTGGCCCCGCGGCCCGGGGGCCCGCTACCCAGCCGGTTGGAGGGCGGCAGCCCGGCTCGTGGCAGCGCTTTCACCTCGGTGCCGCAGCTGGGCGGCAGCGGCGCTGCGGGCGGCGCGGGCGCGGGCAGCGCGGGTGGCGCGAGTGGCGCGGGCAGCTGCCAAGGCGCCGCGTCGGACGAGCGCAAAAGCGCCTTCTCGCAGCCGGCGCGCTCCTTCTCGCAGCTGTCCCCGCTGGTGCTGGGCCAGAAGCTGAGCGCCCTCGAGCCGTGCCACCCCAGCGACGGTGTGGGCCCCACCAGACTCTACCCCGCTGCTCCTGACCCTCTAGCAGTGAAGCTCCAGGGAGCCGCAGACCTGAACGGAGGTTGCGCGGCCCTGCAGAGCGGCGGTGGCGGCCTTCCCAAACAGAGCCCCTTCCTCTACGCCACCGCCTTCTGGCCCAAGAGCTCCGCAGCCGCGGGGCCCCTGCAGCTACAGTTGCCCTCGGCGCTTACGCTGCTGCCTCCCTCCTTCACCTCGCTGTGTCTGCCCGCGCAGAACTGGTGTGCCAAGTGCAATGCCTCCTTCCGCATGACCTCCGACCTAGTATACCACATGAGGTCGCATCACAAAAAGGAGTACGCCATGGAGCCCTTGGTGAAGCGAAGGCGAGAAGAGAAACTCAAGTGCCCCATTTGCAACGAGTCCTTCAGGGAGCGCCACCACCTCTCCAGGCACATGACCTCCCATAATTGACACCGAAAGGACCCCAGCTTTCCACTCGGCACGTCCACGCACAGCACAGTCAAGCCACCTGTAGGAACAAACACGTGATGGCATCCACCACCTCCTAGTGATCTGAGACATTGCACCCAGAGAGACGGTCACATTACACACAGACTCTCAAACACGTGTGCTCCTCCAGTAATCTCATTCAAATGTTTACCTGCCACCTACACTACGCACACACGCACGCACACACAGGATGGTGGATTTTTGATTGGGTGGGTTGTTTTGAGGGGTTTTCTTTTGAATGCACGCATTTTCACTTTCCAAAAAACAAAGGTACATTTTTTAAAATGTCATATATTGCAACATATTGATGCATTTGTCATACGTTTCTACTTAAATTATTAAGCACTTACAGTTTAGATGTAATAATTGTATGTAAGGGCAAAATTTATTTTAGATAAAAAGTAAAGGAGGAGAATGAGATGCTTTCTGCATTTCTTGATGACAGTTTGTGTTCTTACAAAAATAAACAAAATAAAAACGGGGGTCACTATTCAATCAAAGTTTCCAGGGGGAAGTGCATGTATCATGAAACGATTATGGACTTCAATAAAGAATGTCATCATTATGTAAATATATATTTCCTTTTAAAGAAAGTGTAATTTTGTGCCAGTGAAATGGAGTCTGAATAGTTATGTGTTTCTTTTATCCCTGGAAAGATTTATTAAACTTTATAGATGATCTGGGTATGTTGGATGCTTTGAAAATAAATTACTATTTTCTTCAGAGCAATTATTTGGAAAGTTTTTAAATAGACTTTTGTAGCCAAGAACTACACTTTGGGGAGATACCATGTATTTTCACTGAGTCCCTGGAAAGAAGAGATAGCAGGAGAGGGACGATAAACTCTGCCCCACTTGCATTTCTTTGCTCTAAGACAATTTTGAGCCCAAAAGGGAGCAGATGAGGTTTGGTTATTAGTTGGAGAATCTTTAACTGGAACGTGGTGAGTGTCCCGATCAAAGGACAAAGCATTTAAGCAGAGACGCCTGCCTCGAAGCTAGCCTGTCACTAGGACTTCAGTGTTCTTTTCAGCAGCAGGATAATTAGCATCTTTACATGTGACCAGAGACAATTTTCAGGCCTGGACCGCAGAAACCAGATGAAAAGCCCACTTAAGTTTCTATTGGTGGTGCCTACGTGGAAGAGTATGTTGTCCTCTAGAACCGGTTAACATTCTCTCACTACCCATTAAGAGGCCCTATGGAGAGTTTCTTTAGAAACCAAAGTGAAATGACCACAGTCATCTGTATAGCAGGGCACAGCTTTCCTTTTGAGTTTTTGAGCAACTGCACAGCCTCTGGAAAATACTAGTCCTGGAGTATTACCATACAGAAGAACCGGATAACTTTCCTCCTCTCCCTGTCCTTCCTCTTATGAAAAGTCCCTTTGTATTTTTCATATATTGACAACAGATCTTAGTTAAATAGAGTGTATGTGAAAGTGTGTGGTATATCCAGTAGCCATTAGATGCAAAACTAAATGGATCATCATCCTTTAGGTATTAGGATGGCATGAACTTAGTCCACGGGCATCTTCAGAGTCACCCTGTGCATGCTCTAGTTACAGACATGATGCTGCGTAGATCACAGGTGTTCTTCCCACTTTCCCCTTTCCCTCATATCTTGCCAACCCTCCCCTGTCAGATGGAGGACACTTGTGAAGAGGTCTGAAGTGGGAAACTTGCACAAGTTCTCATTGTAGGCATTCAAAGCTTTTTCCTAAAAGTGTTTCAAAGACTTCATTATCTTGGCGTCATTACAGAGCAAGTTATGATTAGCGCAGGGAGCAGGCAAAGACCAGAGGCAGGGCAAATAGATGTATCCATAGTGTGACCCAGGTTGGCGAAAATTCAGACTGACTTTCTTAAGATCATCCAAGTACTTTTTGTACTATGTATTGTTGAGGACTTTCTCACTTTTGCTAGGCAACAATTGGATAATCTGAAACACTTGTCCCCAGCAATGTGTGATAAGAACAGCAGTCCAAAATTCCAGTTCCAGCTGCTGCTCATGATTAGTATGACCCTGCATCATCATCGGCATCATTTGATTTACCTGCATCTTGGTTTTCTCATCTGTACAGAGTAGGGCAGGTTCTACAATCTTCAAAGTACTTGTAGTGAGGAATTGATTTTTCTCATGGTTAACCAGACTCTTATTAAATCTAAAGGGGGCTTTGCAGGGAAAAGAACAAGGCTGGTTGTGAAGCAAAGGTGAAAGCAAGAATTGAGAAGAATATGTGGGGCAAATGGAAGATGGTGTTCAAGAGACCCTTAAATCGCACTGCTTTAGAGGCTGACTTAATTGTCCATGCCTGGAGCACTAGTGGGTCTCTGAAGAAAGTTTCTTAAAAATAAACAGACCACAGGTTGCCTGGGGTCTAACTGTAAAAACAAACAAAAATAAACAAACTTGAATGCCCTTTGTTATATGTCCAATCCTTCCAGAATCTCTTTTTCACTGTGGTGGCTTTACTACCTGTTGGGGATTCAGCAATGAACTTAGGTCTAAAACAATGTAAGCCAATACTGTTTTTTGATAAGGGCTTCCTCATAGTTGGGAATCACATTTGGGGGGGGGGGTTACCTGTAGACACTCCCTAAGCTTCCCTTGTGTTTTCTTTCATGTGGTCATTAACTTAATCACACAATCAGGAAGAAAGCCAAGTGTTGGCTAAGCTACTGCTCAGGTGATCCAGGTAGGTGTGTTGTGGCAGACAGACACTTTAGGACTGGGCAGCACTACTGATCAATCTGCCCACAAGACCTTTTAGGCAGGAAGTAGTAAGGGAAGAGTGCCCAGAGTTAGTTTTGCCCTCAGCCAAGACAAACTGACAAATGTTTTATTTTATTCCTGAATTTTCAAGCTTCCTGATGTATCTTAACTCTCTTTGTCTGAATTTTATCAGACGAGAGTTTCTAAATTCCATAACCCCATCATCTGCCCAGCTAACTGAGATCGCTGGCTCAGGTCGTGGGCTTAAACGTCTGCACACAGCTCCGGAAGAAATAAGGTCTCGGGGTCATGTGGACTTGGAGCTACTATGAAGTCCAGGCAGGTGGCCTGAGTTCCCAGTGCCAAGACCGCAGGTCCTAAGTAGGGAGAGGGAAAACCGACCGGTTGTTGCAGCAGCATTTGTTGCGTCCCAGAGGCAGAACGTCTGGGAATGCAGCGCTAGAGATCTCCAAGCGTGCACTAGAGTGGATCTGACTCCCTCTCCTCATTTGGCATTTTTAAGTTGGGGGACACCTCTATTACCCACGATGTGCTTCCAGGGTATAGAATATGCCCACAGGCGTGTGGGAACCAAAGGATACGGATAGAGACGCACGCACATCTCAGCACCAGTTTGCAGGCGCTGCAGAACCCAGATGGAAACCGACCCTCCCGGGGAAAATTCCCATGGTCCCGGGCCCACTTCTACGCTCTGCGGCCCTCCAAGGACCAGAGTCACGACTGTTGCAGTTGCAGCCACGCGTGGACCAGTTGCAAGCCCAGACGTGGGGACGCCAACGGTCGCCAAGGAGGGAGGAATGGGGTGGAGGATGGAGACAGTTGTCTACCCAATGTTCGCATTTCCCGCATCCCACCTGGTGTGTGAACCGCTCAGCACCACTTTGCCAGTCCTCTGCTGAGTTCCACCTCCCACCCCCGGCAGTTTTCGGCTTAGGGGCCCTGCCCAATGGGCGTGACCCCGAGCAGGGAAGTGTTGGACCCCCCAGGCCACTCTTACCCAGAAAACTGGCCAGGGAGTGAGCCCTCTCCTCACTCTATGGATTGAGCAGCTCTCCTGAGTCCAGGTCTTCTCATCTCTTTCTCCACCTACTACCGGCCAGACTCCCCTCCGCTGCGAACTCGGGTGGAGAAGTCTTCGCGCGTCTGCAAGGCTCAGGGCAGGTGCGCACACAGCCCCTCCCGCCTCCAGTGCAGCCCTCGCTGCTGGGGCCCGCACCTAGACTCCCGCCGCTTGCTGACAGAGCGCGGGGCAGGCAGGTAGAAGGATTCGCCTGGAAGTTTCAGATTTTCTTTCTATTTTCTCTTCTTGCCCATTCCCATGCTGTGGAGTCAATTTGGCCCTTTCTACGATATCTTCCAGTTTCTCTTCCCTCAATCCTTCTTCACCTCCATGCTCTCTTCCATGTTTAGGGACTTACAGAGCTTTGGAATCATTTCTGGAGTTTTGTGAGGAAACCCCCTTGATGATTCTCAGCCATACAGACCACTCCTATGGTGCTTGAACCAGCTCATCAGGAAACTACACTGTCAATTATCTGGCACTGAGGACCACCCCACACACCACCCAGGATGCAAAGAGATGGGCAAAATGCCAGTGCCCCCCCCCCCCCCAAACACACACACAGAGCCACCTCTTGGACAGTTCCTCCCAGGAGAGGAAGTACCAGGTCTGGCTTTTGAACTGATGCACTTTTGGCTTTCCTTGCAAATGTCGTCTTCCCCTGAAGGTGCAAAAATATCTTCAAGGAGTGTAGAAAATTTAGCCTGCCCAGAAGCTGAACTGGGTATGAAGTGAGAAGCTGGGACACCTCTCTTTCCTCTTCCAAATGTGTTTTGGTAGACAGGTGGGCCATGAGGCCTAGAATGTTGCGACAGAAACATATGTCTTACTGGTGGGCCCGAGTGCCTTCTGGCTTTGTAGTCTGTGTGGCACGGAGAAGTGATGCTCTGTGACTCTTCACAAATCGTAGTGCTAAAGCAAACTTGGTTTTTCTTACTTTAAATAGAGACTTAAAATTTTTAAGGAACATGTCTATTCTCCAAAAGTAGTAAATGAAGAAGCTGAAGAAAAAGTTCTTTTATAAATTCTTCTCCTTTTTCAATCTTTAGGGTTAGGGATATAGTTAGGAGTCCTACTTGACTAGCTAACTTGGTTATGGTAACTATTATTTCCTTATCCCTTTTCAAGTTGTGTGTGTGCCTGTACATGCACCAGAACATATATGCATGCATGTTTGCACACATGGCATATGTCCACATATCTGTGTATACTATACATACACATATATTTACATATACAAATGCACATATCTATTTTAGTACATACACATGTAGGCACACAACTGACAGGCACTATTCTTAGTACTTTTTACATGTTGACTGGGTTTAATTCTAACAACCTACCCAAGAGGTGGACCATGAAGGATCCTACTCCATCATGTTTTAGGATTGTGTGGTTAGTATGGCTGTCATCTTGGAACAGTAGGATGAGAAATAATGGGAATGTAATGGACAGACTAGTGGCTCCTAAGTCAGAAGGTACGCTTCAAATTTTGTGAGCCTTTCATCTATGTGTCTCAGTTTATTGTACTTGAACTTATGAATAATACCACCTTTGGACTTATCACACAGCTATGTCTTGGAAAGCAAGTAAAATCACTCATGTAGAACCTTTTCATACTATTATATATGATTGCCTTTCCTGCTGGTGAAAGAGATATCCTTTTAGCCGAAACTTATCTTCCTTAGCTTATCAGGATGCTCTAGTAATTCTATAAGAAATTTTTTGTGGGCTTGACTTCCTTTAATGATCTTTGCTCATTCTTAAGCAGAGGTGGGAGTGATAGCTGGTTTGAGTTTGTAGATGTGTATTTAACTATTCAGTGGTTCTTCCTAAATATCCCAAACATACAGAAGGGTCACTGAAAAAAATATTGAGCAATAAAGTTAAGTAT